GGCGAGGGGGGGAGTGGGTGTTAAAGCTGTATCCTGATTTATAATACCCAAAACTTCATCTGGGAAACGCATACCAGCTTAAAAACTTGGGCAGGTTTTTTTTTAATCCAGTTACATTACAGTATTAAGCAGACAATGGTGTTTAAACTGTCTTCTGCACTAGTGATCTATTTGCAAGAATAAGAACTGTTTTATTTTGGGTGTGGCTTTGTTATTTGCTTTGGTTTTGGTGGGAGGTTGTTTGTGCTCTATTCTTCAGCTTTAGCAGCCATTCCATAAATGTCACTTACCCGGAGTGGTAATTGTCATTCACAATTTGTTTTAGGTTGCAAGTTTAAGGATGTTAGAAGAAATCTTCAGAAAGATATAGGTGAGTCTTCTGGCTGGTATAAAAATGCCTCTCACTTCCATGTAATGGGCAAGAACAACGTGCAGGTAAACTGAAAGCATAAGTTACTAAGGGGCTAGAGGTTTACCTTGTCTTATTCTGGAGACTGTTGGAGTTGCTGTTTATCTAATCTGGGCATACAGATTCAGACATTGGGTATCAAAAACATGGCTTGACGTTGAGACACGGTGCTGTTTTATTTGTACTTTTATAACAGGTGCTATATAGTCATCTGTATAATATGCCATGATGTTAGAGCACAGGGCAGTTCTTTACAAAGCCTTTCTGGGGGTAGGTCTGACAGCAACGTCTGTCTGAGTTTTGGTAACACTGTGCTTGGAGATGCTGCAAATATTTTAGCACAGTCACCACTATGAGTACTAGATAGCACTTTTAAGTGTGCAGTGCCGCTTTCTCTGTGTCTTTTCTACCAAATATTGGATGATTAATCAGGGTATTTCATGGCTGGAGCTATACAGGCATCTGCGTATCTGTCACAGTAACTATGAGCTGTGCTAAATCCCATGCAGGAGGAGGCATCTTCAAAACAGCTAGGACCAAGACGTGTTACAAACTTGTAATATCCTCCTCCCAGAGAAAAGTGAGATTGGGATAGAAAAGATGAAATCATGTAAAGATTTGTGCCTCGCATTTATCTGTAAACACTAGCAGAGCAGATACTAATAGCAAAAACCCACAGTGTTTGGACATAGTCACAGCTGGAGATGGGACAGAATCATGCTTAAGCTGGCAGCAGTTAATGGACTGTTCTGAGTGCTGACATGCTTTCTAGTGAGCCTTGTCTTGAGACTCACTCGGAACTGAGAAAACACCTCTTGTGGGTTACCTGAAGGCCAATGTGGGAGAGACAGTAGAATTAAATGCTGCTCAAAGCAAAATTGCTAACTCCTGTTGTCTTAACCTCAAAGATTAAAAAAGAGAATTAGTACCAAGTAGCTTATCTGTTTATCCTTAAGCTTGATAAGCTTTTGTTTATTTGCAACTGTCTTAATCTGTTGGCAGAAGAACTAAAGAACTATGGGACCCAGGATGTATTTGTGCTTTGTACCAGAGGAGAGCTCTTAAAATACCGTGTACCAAACCTTATAGACACCTACCAACAGCATGGGATCTGTGTGCACCACTATCCTATTCCTGATGGGGACGCTCCTGACATTGCCAAGTGCTGCAATATTCTGGAAGAGCTCAGAAGCTGCCTGGAAAGTAACCGGAAAACAATCATACAGTAGGTTCTGGTTGCCTCCCTTTCAACCCACATTCCTGTAAAAGATACCAGCTTCTCTCTAGATGCACGACCAGCTGAAACAGAATCCTGTCAAATGACAGTTGCATTCTTTAGGGTTAGTTCAAGCTGTGAAAAGCTGCTTGTTTCTCCTCATGCACCCTTTTGGAGCTAACTTGTCCTTTGTGAGATTCGAATCTCCCATTTTCCCTTGCTCTCTCCAACAAGCACTTCAAAGTGTGGGATGAATGGTGTCATGTGACTCCTTGCTGCTAGCTTAGTTGGATATCAGGTATACAACATGAGTTGTAAGCTAAAGCAGCTGTTGTCAGAGGATAACGCACCCTGGGGCTGTTTATCAGGGACTCGGTGGGTTCCAGCAGTGCAAAATTCACTCTTAAATTGCATGAAACTGGTTTAAAGTAATTTCTTTAGACACTTGTAGTGGAGCTTATGGTAGAGGGGAAGAGCTTTCCAAGTTCCCTGAAGACCTTGCTGACAGCTCCCCACACAGACATCCACTGAGTCCTTGGGCTTCCTGCTGGTGTAGAACCCTGCTGCTATCATTAGCTCACAACTATCATCAAAGCCCTAATGTGGAGTAGGGTTTAAAGAAATTGAGATTGTCCATCTTCATGCCCTTTTCTGTCTTCTTGTGCCTTTGGGACTCTTACCATGAATGAAGGGGAACTTTAAAATTGCAGTTTCTCTAGAAAGACACTATTTAAGGAAGGCCTGAAGAATAAGGGGGAGGTAGCCTTGTAAGTATTTCTATAGAAATTCTTATTCTAACTTTCTTGTACCACTGCTCTCCTTAATTACATTAAGGCAGGATTTGCATCCATACATTTACGTCTTGAGGGAGCTCTGGGTGTTGCAGCATACTACAGCTTGTTACAGCCAAATGTTCTCTTCTCTTTCAGCTGTTACGGTGGCCTTGGACGCTCATGTCTCAGTAAGCAGTTGCCTTCTCCCTCTCCATGCCCGATTAACTATCCCATCCTACAAACCCATTTTCATGAGACAGCACTGTCTAAAGGAGCCAAATTCTGCTTGAAGCTTACAATGCAAACTGCCAATACAGGTAGCAGGCTAGTTAATATATTTGGACCCATTTCTTGCGAAAGGTGTTGTCAAATGGTAGTAACATCAGCTGCTTGTATAGAAACTGTTTGTGATGAGTGACATAAATATGTCATGGGATAGACTCGAGCATGTAGGTGAGAGGATGGAGGGTCAGGCAGGGTCAGTCTTTCAGAGAGAACTTTCTATCAGCCT